TCAAATTTTATATTAATCTAAGATGATTTGATACTTCATTCTCATAAAATAAAATTGACGTAATATATACATTTCAAAATATACTAAAATATGAACACTTTGATTACCTTCAAGTTGTTGTTCAATTTTAACAAAATTTGACATATATGATCTAAGAGATATGAACTTTCAATCCAACAGTTGGATTTTCAAAATTCACATTTAATATAAAGTTATTGAGCGGTGTAACACTTAGTTAAAGTTACACCGGTGTCGTTTGAACCCTCCTCATATATATATATAAGATGAATTTGCGTTAGGGTTTCCGTAAGTAGAATGAGATAAGAATGGATCTTAGTTGGGGGAAGAATCCTCTCAGCACAAAAACTGTGATCTCTCTCCCTTCCTTGAATTTGTTACCCTTATCATTTCTTCTTTTATGACTCGACAATTATTTTATTTATTTTCTTACTAAGAATTTTTTTTATTTTTATATTTTGAAATTATGATTTTTTATATTTTAAAAAAGAAAATTAACACAAGACATTACAGTATCTTAGAATTTAATACTAGACATATTTTTTCACAAGTGAATAATTGAAAGCAATTACAAAATTTTAAAAATTATTTTGTATCTGTAACAAATTTTATATATATTTTTTCCTAATTGATGTTTGTAAATTTCGAAAATATTTTAAATGAATAAAAGTGTATGAAAGAAAAACTTTCACTCAAATACCAATATAAAATGCAGGGACATATTTAGTTATAGGAGAGTAGGGTAGCTATCCTACTATTTTTTTTAATCATTTATAAATAAAATATTTTAAATCAAAAATTATAAAAAATTTGAAATGTTGTTTAGAATAATTTTTAGCATGTGCAATACTACATGACTTTCTTCGTAAAAAATGTCATTCTAATGAATTTCTAATTGGAGTAGTGGACGAACCTTCATCTTGAATATTATCAGTTAATGAAAACCATAATTCTAAGCTTATTATTAAAACCTTGGAGCAAAACCAAAAAGATGATGCTTTGAGGACTAATATAACTATGAATATATAGGTGAATGTTATTTAAAAGGACATGATACTGCGGAGAATTATTATTATTATTATTTGTCTAAATATTGTTGTTTTTTTTTATTATTTTTGTCTCTTTCACTCTTTTTAAATTTAAATGTATGAAAAAAAATCTTAAACTTTTATCATATGTTAAAAATCTACGAAATTATGCAAAGTTTACAAAGTTTCGCATAATCCATTAAAATCTTAACTTAAAAGTCTTGCAAAATCTATTAAAATTCTGATTTAAAGTCTTGCAGATCTTACAAACTCTTAAAAATCATGAAAATTCTGTAAAATCTTTTAAAGTTCATAAGATTTTTTACAACTAAAAAAATTCTTTAAAATCCTAATCTAATACATCCTCCTAAATTGCTGACTCATCTTATCTACAAATGCATTAATTAATATCGGCTAATGAAAACCACAACTCAACCATAAAATCAAAAATATGTTTTAAAACTTCAAATTTAAAATAATTTTATTTATTTTTGTCAAATTTAAAATTATTTTTTAATCTTATAATTTTTAAAATTTTAATTTTAATTTCTCAAATCACTGATAATAAATCTAAAAATAATAAATTAAGATAATTATACAATATTAACTAGATTTAATATTATGTTTTTATTAATAAATATATTATTAAATATATTTTACGTGACAATATTTAATAAAATTTCTAAAATAAATGAGTATAAAAAATAAAATAATTTTATTTAAAATTGTAGAAATTAAAAAGATTAATTATTAATTTAAAGAATTAAAAATAAATTTATTTTAAATTTGATAAATTAAAAATATATTTAAATATAAAATTACATTAACAGTGAGAGATTGAAGTAATATATACAAAATTTAGATACATCATTATAATTTTGATAAATTAAAAAATAAAATAAGATCAAATTAATAAAACTTAATTATTTCAAATATTAGTTATATATTATATATTTTTTCAATATATACAGCTTTTTAATTTTATTAAAGCTACCTATAAATATTTTATTATCGACGAACCTAAAGTTTAAACTTTAATAGTTTTACTCATTTATAATATATGGACACACTCATTTATCTCAAGTAAATGGATGCCTTCCAACTCCTTTTACCTTTACGGCACAGAAAAACTAAATCAAGGGCTATATAAAAAAATAAAAAAAAAGAGTAAACAAATGATGAAATAATAAGAAAAAAATTAGAGAGATATAAATTAAGATGATGGAGGTGGAAGGATCCGAATCCTAAATATATATATATATATATATATATATATATATACTTTTTTTTTCTTTCTCCATATATCTCTTCCTATCAAATCATATCATATAATTTACAATACGAATTCAGATTCTCTAACTTTGAAACATCAAAGTTATGGTAACTTAATACATTTAAATCGTTAGATTTATAAAAATAAATTAGATTGTGACACGTGTATAATATATATTTTGACTTAAATGTACATGTGTTACAATCTGATCTATTATTACAAATTCAACGGTTTAAATGCATTAAGTTACCATAATTTTTTCTCTATAAAGTCAGAAGATTCATTTTCTCTACAATACCAATGTTTTTCTTACTCCTTTCAAGGTGGTCTAATAACACGAATGTTAGAAAACAAAATTAAGTAAATATAATATTGTTCCAATTTGTGTAAATATAAAATAAATTATAATTCAAATATTAAATATGTATTTTTTAGTGGACAGTATTTGTAGTATAGCATATGTATTTTTTCTATTAAAAATAAAAGTAAAATATAAAATCAATTTCTCTTTCATTAAATACTTCACTATAAAAAAAAACATTTAAATGTTGTTTGCATAGTTTTCATCTACTAGTAATTAGAATTCTCAACTCTCTTAATGATGTTACTCTTAACAATGCAATGTACAATTGATAGTGAGTTATAAAATATAGATAATGGTTATGTGATTATCATTTGAGATTTTATAGTATTTTACAAATCATTCAATGGTGTTGATTAATGATTGATTAAAATATACTTTTTTTATCTAGTTATTTTATTATTAAAATTTATTTTGATTCATAAATTTTAAAATTTGAATTAATTTTATCCTTTTAATTTAAAACATTATCATTATTTTTTATTTTAAGATATAAGATACAATTTTAAACACTTTTTATTATTAATATAAGATACGATTTTCATTAAATTTAACTACACAAAAATAATGAAACTTAAAAAATGTTCCAACCATAAAAAGTAATAAAATGAAAAAACAATATGAAAAGCTACTTAATTTGATAATGTTAAATGTCATATGAACATAGATTAATTTATATATATAGTAATTTTATTAACTTTTATAATAATGATATTGAAAATATACTTTTTCTTTGATTAATCAACCATATATATAAATTTAACCATTGTAAAATTGAAATATTTTATCCTTATAATGTGCAAAAGATGGGGAAAAAATACAAGAAGTATACGGTATACCCATTCCCCATATATATAAAATCATAATAATCACAACAAAAGCTCAATTTAAATAAAATGATTATTTTTTAAGCAATGATTAGTCTTTACTCTTTAGGAAAGTAAAAAGGATAATTTGGTCATTTCAGTGGCTATTATCCTTTTGCAACGGTCATCTAAACCATCCCCTCTATTCAAAAACTTGCTTCTCTTCTCTGTCTTCCCTCTATCCAACGTTTGAATCCAAAACTTTCATTCTTTTGCATTTCTCTCTCTCACTCTCTCTGTTTATAGCTTCATTGCTTGATTCTTTACTTGCTCAGCAAAACCATAACCATGAGGCAAATCAGTAATGCAGAAACTGCAGAGGCTCGTTTCTCAACCACCATTTCCTCTTCATCTCTCAGAAACCTTCTTCCCAGATCACTCTCTTCCAAGCACAAACCCACTCCAAACCCTAAAATCCCAAATTCAGATGCAGAGAACACTCCCCCCACCCATCCCAACATCCAGAACAACCGTGAACAATCCTTGTCTTCCTCAGCCAACCAATCACACTCCAAAACCTCAATTTCTCAGAATAACCTCGACCAATCGAAATCCCCTCTCAAATCCGACCCATCAGTCAAGGCAAGTGAAAATTTTGGTCTTTCCTTGGTTTTTTTTTTGAACAGTGAAGTTGTAATCTGTGAGTCTATAAATGGGTATGTACCAAAATATCTGTTTCTTTTTTTCTATTTTGCTTATAATATAGTTTTGGAACAGGTTGTGGTGCGAATCAGACCTACCAATAACAATGGAATAGAGGTAGATCGAACCGTTAAGAAGGTTTCTTCGAATACCTTGTGGGTTGGGGATAGGCAATTTACCTTTGATTCAGTCTTTGATTCGAACACCAATCAGGTAAAAAACTTCATTGTGATGTTTGTGATTTATCTATTTTTTTTTTAATCTTTCGTTAATTTTCCATCATAGGATTAAGGTAATTACTTACTTTTTATATGACTTGCTTGTTATACATGAAACAACTAGTATTTTTTATCTTTGAATAATTTTCCATGATAGGATTATGTATTTACTATTTATATGACTTGCTTTTATGAATGAAACATCTAGTAGTTCATTTTCCTTGCTGCCTTGTTGTTGCATGACACTCATAAGACAAGATAAGTGTGATTTATATAATCTTTTGTTTGTTCAGGAAGATATTTTTCAGTCAGTTGGTGTCCCTTTGGTTAAAAATGCTTTAGCTGGTTACAACACTTCAATTCTGTCATATGGCCAGGTACTACTTGATGTTTAATATATATTTTAACCTTTTAATATATACTTGATATTTAATGTATAGCATTCTTGATGGATAATTGATTGTTGAGGACTTTTCTTTAATTTTCTTTTAATTCTTTGCTAGTCTGGAAGTGGAAAGACTTATACCATGTGGGGTCCCCCAAGTGCCATGTTTGAGGAGCTCTCGCCCCAAAGTCACAAGGGAATTGTTCCTAGGATCTTTCAAATGTTGTTTTCTGAGCTTGACAAAGTAAGTTGTACTTCCCACGTTTACCACTATATCTGTTTATATCTTTTGACACTGACTATTTTTTATTTTCAATTACTGTATTAGGAGCAGCATGTGTCTGAGGGGAAACTATTTAACTACCAATGTCGATGTTCTTTCCTTGAGGTAATAGTTTATAAAACTTCCCGTTTTGGCTTCTTTGCTTATATGATAACGATCTTGTTTTTTTTCTTTGTGGTTTGAAACAGATATACAATGAACAAATTGGGGATTTACTTGATCCAACCCAGCGGAACCTTGAGGCATGTCCTTTTGTGCTACCATTTACCATAAACCATTATTGACTAGTACACTTGTTTTACAATCATGCTTAATGTGGCCGGTCCAAATTATTGCAGATTAAAGATGATTCAAAAAATGCATTCTATTTAGATAATCTGACTGAGGAATATGTCACTAGCTATGATGACGTGACACAATTTCTGATTAAGGTAGGACTAGGGAAGAATCAAAGCAATTATATTGTTGAAAAATAGATGTTACATTTAGCTAATTAGGTCTTTATATGCTGCAGGGCCTTTCAAGCAGAAAAGTTGGAGCAACAAGCTTAAATTCTAAGAGCTCTAGATCACATATCATTTTCACTTTTGTGATTGAATCTTGGTGCAAGGTATTGTCACTATAATTGTATTTGGCATGACTAAATATGGAAAACTAACGTGTTTTTTTCTTATTTAAGATTGAGACAGATTTATACTGTTAATTTTCTCTGTTAGTTAATTGCTACATCTGGTTTTCTTTGACTGCTGCTGCAGGGAATATCATCAACCGGTTTCAGTAGTTCAAAATCTAGCAGAATTAGCCTTATCGATCTTGCTGGACCGGACAGGAACAAAGTTGAGGATGCAGGCAAGCAATGTCTGAAAGAAAGCAAAAATGTAAAGAAGTCCTTATCTCGGTTAGGGTAAGATGCCAAGTCATAATAGCTGAATTACATTTGCCTGAAGTTGATGGTTTTTCAGTTATCCCATTATATATTAAAACTGTCCAGGCAACACATACGTGGCTTCTTCTCTTGATTTCCATTCCCACCTCTTGATATTAAATATTTTTTATTTGTTACTTGTGACTTTAACTGTTAATTGCAAAAAAAGAAGAAAAAAAAATTCTCTTCTGTGCAAAATGCACAGGATCGCATCAGGTGTTGGTTGAAATCAATATCTTGGTCTTATTTATTTATTTAATGGGTGAATGTATCTCGTCCTTATTTTACTTCTTTGTAACCACTGATTTATTTCACTGCTGTAGGCACGTAGTAGATGCCCTGACTAAAGAAACTCACTCGGGAAAAGCAGAAGAAATTTTAAACAGGAATTCCTGTTTAACCCGTTTACTACAAGAATCACTTGGTGGAAATGCCAAACTCTCCGTAATCTGTTCCATCTCCCCTGATAACAGGTATTTACCTGAACCAAGGAGCATTACGTATTAATATGTATGCCTAACATCGTAGCATATATTTTGTTTCTTGCGGTAAAGATTGTATTTGTTGATTGTAGGAATAATGGTGAAACACTGCGCACACTCAGGTTTGGACAGCGAATAAGAAACATTAAAAATGAACCTGTTATCAATGAAATAAAGGAGGATGATGTTAACGATTTAAGTGATCAAATCCGGCAACTGAAGGTATTATTTATCTCCAGGACTTCAGTGGAATAGTTGTTAAATGTTTGTTGCAGAATGATCTGACATGATAGAATTACGTGTGTTTGCTTTGGTGCAGGAAGAACTCATTAGAGCAAAGGCTGAGGTTCATAGCTCAGGTGGGAGTAAAAATGGATACTCTCAAGTACGTAATGTACGGGACAGCCTTAATCAGTTGCGAGTCAGCTTAAACCGCTCTCTACTCCTGCCTCGCATTGATAATGACAATGATGAAGAGGTAAATGTGGATGAGGAAGACATAAGGCAATTACGCCTGCAGATTGATGAACTGTATCATTCGTGTGATGGGAATCCTACAAACGTATCTGTCAGTGAAGATTGTGACCAGTATTATTCAGTTGCAGAAAATTGTGATACAGATATGACTAGTGGTGATGAAATAGAAAAGGAGGAAGTATGTTTTGGAGAAACACTCAGTAAGCTTTGTCCTGAGGAAAGTGAGGGGTCAACAGCCTCCTTGTATACATCAGTAGATGAATTTGCATGCACAGGTAATGCCTCAAGGACAATTAAATCTTCATTCAGAGATAGCATTTCAGTTAGTTCATGTAGTCGATCTCCAATACTTGAGGAACCACAGTTGTCCGAGTCCCCCAAAATCAGGAATGTCCAGAGGAAAAGTGTGGCTTATTCACCAAGTTGTCTTGGAAGTTGGAACAATGTGGTAGAGGAAACTTTGAGATCCAGTAAAGATATATTAGGACAATCAATTAAAGAGGGAGAGCAGCTGCGATCATCACTACGGTCAAGCAAGGTTTTTCCAGGTCCTACTGAATCCTTGGAGGCAAGCCTTCAGAGGGGATTGCAGATAATTGATTATCACCAGAGAAACTCAGCATTAAACAAATCTTCATCTTCATTCTCTTTTGGGAACTTAACCTTGACACCTTGTCCAGAAATAGACAAGGGTGATTCTTGCGATCAAATAATGCAACAGAAGAAATATTGTGTCGATGAAAGAACTGCAACTTTGCTTTGTGAAGCTTGCCGTAAAAGAGTATATGATCAGGATTCTAGTGAGGTTCGAGATAGCTTAAAGTCATGCATTCAAACAGCTGAAGCAGGAAATTCGGACGGACTGACAGATAAGGCTCAAAAAGTATGTTTTGAGGATGATTTCCATAAGTTGTGATTATTTTTCTCGTAAAACTCATTTATCTTATCTCATTATATGTTTTTCTTTTTGCTTCAAGGATTTACAGAGTATAATGGAAAAGGCAATCATGAGAGAAAAGGAGCTAGAGAATGTTTGCAAGGAGCAAGCTTCTAGAATTGAAGAACTAAATCAATTGGTATAAGGAGTCATGTTCTCATAAATTATATTTGTGCTGTGAATTTGTTGGGATACAAACAAAGTCCCATATCGATAAAATAAGACAAGAAATAACAACTTATATAACACAAACATACTTCAATGATAAAGAGGCCTTTTGGGTGATGACTAAAAGCAAAACCGTGAGGGCTTAGGCCCAAAACGGATAATATATCATCATTGTAACCTTATAAAAATAATTCTTATAAAATATTCCTCAAACAAATACAATAAAATAACCCATCAGAATTTTACTTTACTGACAATTTTGTTCGGGTTGTTCAGGTGGAGAAATTGAAAGGAGAAAAAGAACTAAAATCCTCCATCATTGTGTGTGATCAAGAAAGCAACAAACAGACCAGACATGTAGAAGAGTATAACTCATTGAAAGATGAAGACAAGGTCTACTGTTGGTTTTTAATTTACACTATAAAAATGTTCTATCCATTTGAAGCTTTGGAACTCACCCCCTTGTGTACCTTTTATGCCGTTTGCAGCTTCTAATAAAGGGTACTTCCTCAGTCAGACATTTACCAGATCTTATAGAGGAAAAGTGTGAAATTAAAGAAGTTCGGGAAGAAGTAACTCAAAGAGACAGCTCTTTTGATGCAGTCGAGAAGGAAGATCTCCTCAAAGAAATTCAGAATCTAAGAAGCAAGCTGCTAGTACACAGCGATGCACCAGTTAAGAAGTCCACTGACAAGCTAAGGTCTTCCTTATCATTAATGTCAAGATCCATTCAACTGCGTAAAAGCAGTCTATTTTCTCGTGATAATGGTGGAGATGAGCTAGAGAAAGAGAGACAGAGATGGACAGAAATGGAAAGTGAGTGGATTTGTCTTACTGATGAACTAAGAGTTGATCTTGAGTCCAACCGCCAGCGGGCAGAGAGGTTGGAGATGGAACTGAGTCTAGAGAAGAAGTGCACAGAAGAGTTAGATGATGCACTAAAAAGAGCGGCGCTTGGACATGCTAGAATGGTGG